TTATTTTTTCAAGGCAGCCAGGCTACTTTTTCCAGGAATAGTTCATCTAAGTTGCAATGTTAAGTTCATTCAATAAAAACTGAACTGCATCTTTTTCCCACACAACTTAAATCTATAGTACAACATAAAAACTATTCTTCAACATCAAAGACGATTCAGAATGCCATTTTATTGAATTTCAAAACTGGGTGGTATTACTACCATGATATTACTACCATGGGGCAATGCAGAATTATGACAAGTGTCAGATATTTAACATGTTTAGCTGTTAACATTTACATAATAAAACTGTAAAATCTTAATATTATGGTTTACCATGCAAGAATGTTTATGGTATGAAGGTAGGTGTGAAACAAAAGCTAAAACAAGTTTGTGCAATTTAACTGCAATTCAAGTAGATCTTAAGTATGTCTTGATTGAACAAATACTACATACTTACTACAACAGACAATATTGCACATTTACAACAAGTATACAGACCTTTTTCTTTTGTGTTGACTCTTCTTAACATGTGATGGAGCTGGCCAACTTGTCACTACACTTGCCCTTGAAACAGTTTGTTTCGAATGCCATTAACTTTGGGCGAACAGTTGCCACTTCCGATGCCCATGAAAACTTTCTGTATGAGTTCGAAAGTGTATTTCAGTCCTTTGGGGTATTCTATGTTGAGGCAGTAAAGCAGACCCATCATTCTTGAGAAGGCATTAGCAACATCTCTTAGATGGTGCAGAATGATGTGCTCCTCCAGGACAACAGCAACATCAACAGCCTCTTTTGCCAGCAACTCCTGCTTGCTTCCACCTTCCTCTGAAACAATCAGAAGCCCACTCCTTTTGTGACCTCCTCTTCTGAACTGCCAGGCTAAAGCACATAATAAAGATAAGTCAGAAATTAGGCATATACCATCAATTTACCAATTCACTATTTCAATTTGGTAAATGTGTATAAATGTATACATTTATTTGTATAATGTATTTAATGAAGATAATTTTAACAGAGAAAAGAGTCTCAGGTGATTTTTTATTTTGCAGATATAAAAGGCTCACTTTAAGCCATTTTCAGGTGATTATACACAAATGAAAACATAGTTATGAAAATTCTAATTAATTTATGCCATATTCTGCAAATAGAGTCCCCTAAATCTGGCCTACCTTTAACATGTGTACATATCAATGTTTGTTGTTGTTTTTCACCATAATTAGTTTCCCACGCCAATGAAATTAAGTCACACACCTCGCAGACAGACGAAACTTGAAGGATCCTCCTTCAAGTAGTATGGAAGTCCAAGCAAAGCAACTGCTCTTCTCTTCTGATTTGAAGTCTCATAACACAACAACAACAAAAGAAGAAAAAAGGTAATCAAGCATGCCCATGTCAATTCTGACAACACTGGGGTTGCTGCTGTGTCACTTAGCGCCAAAAACTCAAATCTAGCAAATCCTGATTAGTTTAAAAAATATTTAAAATAATACTTCACTTTTACACGCTTTTCACTGGCTTATATAGCAGGGTTTGGGATGAAATCAAAAAGAGTGAGACACGTACAATACACAACAAAAAACTGAAGATTAAGATGGAAGCATCTTCACACTGACACATCACACACTGCTGCCTTTGTTGAATTGGTGTTCTGCCCGTGAGCTAACCCATGGGGCCCCTGCAGCTGCTTTTACCCTCCATGTCTCACTCTGTTTTCAATGTATTAATGATGAATTGCTCATGGTGGTACTGTTGGGTCTCTGTAAATAATGTTATAAAGAGTTCGGTCTAGACCTGCTCTATTTGAAAAGTGTCCTGAGATAACTTCTGTTATGAATTGGCGCTATACAAATAAAATTTAATTGAATTAAATATGTTTCATACTTTGTCTCCCATGTTGCTTTTACTTCTCTCTGTTTAATGGTGGAAAATAATTATGTTGATTTTTTGTAATGATGCTATTTCAAGACAGATCTTGGACCCCCAGCATCCTCTTGACCTGAGGCTCTCTCCCCCTCTCTCCCTCTTATCTCTGTCAGTCTGTCTCTATCTCTCTGACAGTCTCTGATCTGCTTCTCTATTATCTCTACAACACAGACTGAAGAATAATTGCATGGTGACAGTATAGGGAAGGTTATTTCAAAATGCAATCTCCCACAGGTTAACGATTACCTCCTTAAAACTATCATCTGTAATAAAAATCTGCCAGAAAGTATCAAGTATAAAGGGTTACTTCACCTCCAAAAACCAATCAAATATACACTTAAATGAACAATCTGGCTATAGTTCTACTGTTATCATCACCACACACTTATATTACACTGGCCATTACTTTTAAGTTGTGTTGAGCTTTCTATACTGCTCCCCCCAAAATGTATTTTCTCCACCAATAACTGAGACAAGCAATCTTCATGCAAACATTTCCTGAACTTAATGGCTGTACAATGTGATTCCTCGTAATTAAGTCAGCATTAAAGGGGACATATTATGCAAAACCAACTTTTTAATCATTTGATAATGTACATTTGGGACTCTGGAGGGCCTATCAGCAGGCAAGTGTGAAAAAAAAGACTCAGTCATGTTATTGTGAGCTGCCTCAGTCAGAATATAGGAGACAAATCACTCTGTTTCAGATGTTCAGAGTTTTTGACGTCAGTTCGGTTCCATGTTGCCACCCACTGCAGTACTTCCTGTTGACTATCGGAGCTCCGCCATTGTTACTATAAAAGAGCATGCTAGCAGAAAACAAGCGAGCCCAGCCAGCAGCCAGCAGCCCAATGTCTGGGCAAAGGCTTCAGCAGACAAACTGTTCAGTCATTGGCTGCACAGCACAACACTAATTTACATATGTATGAGCCACTGGATTTATTTTTATTTTTGATGACAATGTCCGTCAGAAAAACCAGAATGTGTCTGAACCACTTCGTGTCAGACTGTTTTCACAACCTCAGTCAGTACAACAGTGGACTGACTGAAAGACTGTTCCTGAAAGAGGGATTGTACCAACTGTCTGTGGAGAGACGGCAGAGGAAGTCCCTGTTTTACCAACTTCTTGGAGAGACGGCAGAGGAAGTCCTGGAAGGATTTTTAACAATTGATGCTGTTTTTCATTGTTCGTGTACTGCTAGCACATGCTAACCGCTGTTAGCTACAGGAGCCTCAGTGATGCTAACGTATATTGTTAGTTAAATGTTTGTTAAATGTTTGTTAAATGTGTGCAAGATGAACATGAAACTTAAAGGTGAAGTTAATGTATTAACCAGCTGGTGCAGATGTCTCCATATTCTCCCCTGCTGATATTGTTATAGAGATTCCCATGAAGTTTATGCCGTGAATTACCAAGCTTGGTGCCGGGGGGGGGATTGGCTTTATGTTGGTCTGTATTTTGTTAAACGTGCTCAGTCATTAATATGTTTGTGTTGCTGTTAACCTCCGAGTGAACAAACTGTAGCGCTAACATCAGCTGTTAGCTTGTTGAGCTGCATAGAACAGGGAAGATAACGTCAGTTAGCTTTAATTGTCTTTAACCTGGTAACTTACAAATCTGCTGGGTAGCTCAGTATCTGTTCACCGTTTGAATTAATACAGCTGTGATCAGAAGAAGACACTGTACTTGTACCGTGTATAAATTCAGCAGTGGAGGTCATTAGTTTGGTAGCATTGTAGCTTTGATTAGCACACAGCAGCTCTGTGATGTCACTGTGTTACTATGGTTACTGAGTCTGTCGGACTTTATGTTGTAATACGAGGGGCAGTGTGATCGTTAAGCCGAAGTTAGAAACTACCAAAATACCGGGAGTGAGTTATAATGATTCTTTTCTGTTTGTGTAGCTAATGTGCTAACCAGCTGGGGCTAGCTGCAATGTTTTCTGTGTGTGTGTGTGTGTGTGTGTGTGTGTTACGGTGTGTAAATTAACTTGATCTACGTGCACCAGAGTTAACACTAGAGCTACAGTGAGAGAGAAACAGTCAAACTGCAGGGATTCATTAGTTTAGTAATATTCTGTAACTATGATTATTACTGAGCAGCAGGGGTTGCTGTAGGTTGTTTGTGGAGTCAAACTGACTAATAAAAGTTTTCTGATCCATTTATTTAGCGTTACTGAAGTACTGCTATTACTGACGATATAAGTGCAGGTCCAGTGTAACATCTTATACTCATATAATCTCCTATTGTATTATAAACACTGAGGCTCACTGCTGAATGTCTGTTATTGCACCGGGAACTTGTTCCAACATCAGTTACAGTCAGTAAATGTCCTGTGCCTATCTACTCATTAGATAGACATTGTGTTGGTAACCTCAGACTGTTTCAACAACACATCACTACAGTTAGCTGCAACCAGGAACCACCAGAGACACTGCTTTATTATTTTAGTATTTATAACTGAGGACTACTGATGAGCCACAATGAGCTGTTGTACTTGTATTTATATTATACTGTATATTATATTATACTGTATATTATTTTATACTGTATATTATATTATACTGTATATTATATTATACTGTATTATATTATACTGTATATTATATTATACTGTATATTATATTATACTGTATTATATTATACTGTATATTATATTATACTGTATATTATGTGCTGCTTTACAAGTAACACTGAATCCTCCATGTTTTACAGGTGAGCTGATGAAGCTCAGGTGTTCCTGGACCCATCAGAGGACAGAGACAGCTGCAGCATCAGGACAGTCTGGGTATCCAAAGGAAGACTGATGAAGATGAACACTGACTGCAGAGCACCATTACCAGCTCACACTTCAGTATACTAGAAACCATAAACCTTGATGGAGGACATGATCTGCACAGCTTACATAAAAGTTATAGCTTTGTTACTTACAACATGTGTAACTGGAATATTAATGAAACATAAGTAAAGTGTGTTTACTTTTAAGAAGAGTTTTGGTCATTTTTAAATTCAGTAATAAGTGTGGTTTTATATAAATAACATGTTATTTCACAAGATAAATGACATCATAATATATAATATAAATGATAGAATATTCAGTATACAGTATTTTTAATGGGGTTCAAACATAATTGCAGCTTTTACAAATATCTGAAGGTGAACTTTGGTAATAATACTTTCAAGTTAAAATATCAGACTATGAAATATGGACACAGTACAGTTAACAGTTGGTTACTTAGCAGTTTTTAAACCACATGAACAAGTCACTTTATTAGATGAGTAATTCCTTCAGTTATGTTGACATGTTGTACAGGATAAAGTATTGCAGGCATATAATATGTTTAACTTCACTGGGCTGTGTAGACTGTAGGTCACTGCTCACTGTTGTACCTGTAAAGACACGCATAAAACACAGTGTTGGTTCTCATAGTTAAGGTATAAACTAGGGATGCACCGTTTTTTCACTTCCGATCCGATCCCGATACCTGAATTTGGATATCGGCCGATACCGATACTATTCCGATACCAGAGCTGTGTTTGCTTTAACATTATTATTATCATTATTGTTGATTTTATATGAGGCTGAAATAAACTCCTCTCAACAGGCAAGTATGATATGTACGTATGTATGTATGTATGTCCCAAAAGGCAACTTGAGGTAAGCATAAGGTCAGAAAAGGAAGTCAGAAAAACAGGAAATCCTGTTAACAGGAAGAATCCCATTCTGAAAACAAATATGCAACTGTAAGGGTTTCAAATTTATTGTCATGTCAATATTTATTAAATTCCCAAAATGTCAAATATTTGAGTCTTGAAATATAAGAAAGTGCAATAAGTGTAAACATCTTACACACACACACACACACACACACACACACACTATCAATAAAACAGTGTGCATCTGAACACAAGCACTGGCTCTTGTAGCATCAACAAATCAAGGTTTTAAAATGTCAATTATCTGAAATATAAGAAAAGTGCAATAACTGTAAACATCTTACACACGCTTTCCCGTTGTCTACCTGGAGTTTACCTTGTTTTTGGAATGACTCCAGAAGTGATTCCTGACAGCTCGCCTAACAAATCCTCGTGCTGTTTCGTGTGGTGTTTTTTTTAAATGTTTGATTGCGTTCGTAGTGTTGTACGACGCGAGGGCGCTTCCGCGTCTCTGAATTACAGCTTTGCAAACATTGCATTTTGCTGTCTTGCTCTGCGGTGTTTCCAGTGTAAAGTATTTCCACACAGCGGACATGTTGGCTAGCCACAATGCTGCTCAATGCTATCCTGCTAGCTGGCTGCAAACTGCAGAATGGATTTCCTGAGCGGGGCGTTTCTCATAACTCTGTGTCTCATTGAGCCGTGCCTCCGTTCAGGAAATCCATTCCACAGTTTGCAGCCAGCTAGCAGACTGGCCGGCAGGAATCACTTGTGGAGTCATTTCAGCAGACAACGTTAACGCAGACATGGCTCATGGATATCAGAAATCTGCGCAGGTTGGATCGGGAAATTCCGATATGAGAATTACGCTGGTATCGGTCCCGATACCGATACGGGATCGGATCGGCCCCATCCCTAGTATAAACACTAACATTATGTGATAGAGGTTTATATATATATATTTATATATATTATTATAATTAATATAGCAGTATTTACCTGAGGAAAACGTCACAGAAAGCTGTAATCCTGATTGTTGTTGTTGTTCATTTCTCTGTGATTTCAGGTCAGACTCCCGCTCTAACATGTCTGCTGGTGAAGTTTTGGGTTTAGAAGCAGTAATTGAATTAATATTGACGGTAGAAATGCAGCTAAACAAGGCTGAGGTGGAAGTGGGAGGGGCCGGAGCGTCATCCGCGTCATAATGCCGACCAATCAGAGCAGACTGGGCTTTTTGGGAGGGGGGTCTTAAAGAGACAGGAGCTAAAACCTAGCGATTCAGACAGAGGCTGAAAAGAGGTGCTCAGCTATAGGCAGTATGAGAAAAATAATGTGTTTTTTGAACATTAAAACATCTAAACCTATTGTAGGAGAGCCACAAAATACAATTATGAACCTGAAAAAGGGCATAATATGACTCCTTTAAGTATTCTGACACACAAAGGCAAAAGTATTGAACCGAAAAAGTTGTTCTGTTGTCCAGCAATGAAATGTGGTTTCATAATTTTTGTTCATAAGTCTCATGAAGAGGTTAAGCTACATTACAGTCAAAAATGTTATAAAAGGCAGTTGCAAGAACAATACTTCTTACTTATTTTCTATTAACTCTCTCTGCTCTTTCATTGCATTCTATCTGCCGGATGTCTCTTGTTTCTGTGACTCGTGGAGTGCTGTCAGAGTGCTTTAACTGTGCGCTCGCCTTCTTCCCTCTCAGCTCATGGAGAGCTGTTTTCTCTCCTACTCAGATGTTTTCAGTTTTCCAGCTCCATTCCCTCATAGTGAAAATCCGGTATTGTGCTGTTTCTGTGCCATTGTGCTGTGACACATTGGTTATGGACTGGATGGAACCATTAGGGCATTAACCCACAAGCAATAGCCTGAGAGGGTGAAGTCCATACAAAACAATGTGGCATCTACAGTGCGTCTGATGTGTGTGATTGCTCACACCAAGTGCTTGGCTGCTGCAGAGCTGCTACTGCCAGCCCTATTTTTTCCTATACACTTTTCCCTGTATAATGTCCATTTAATTTACAATGCCATATATATATATATATATATATATATATATATAAATATTTGTTTAGCCGAGAGAGAGAGAGAGAGAGAGAGAGAGAGAGAGTGCAGATGAAAAATACTACCCTTCAACCGGTTAACTTCTGGAAATTATTTCACAATGTGCAGTGCTTTTACCTTGATAAGGAAGTTTAAACTGTAGGGAAATATGTGGATATGACTACCAACAGATCCTTTCACTGTCCTGTTTTGCTGGGAGACGTGGTAAAAATAGGACGTTAACTGTCTAGTGAAGCGTTGCTGCAGACACAGCTGAGACGCACGTGAGCTAGAGAGAGACAAAGCAGTGTGACCACTAAAACTCAAGACATTCTGCCATGCACACACCACGCAGGTGGTGTGAACAAGCTGTTGGATGGCTATACCCGGTATGTTACAGTACGTAACTAATGTTCCTGCCTATTCATTCTGAGAGAACAATGTCCAATGGGGAAATTCAACACTGCGTCAACCAATGGTGTAACTTCATCACTCAGTAACTAGACTTTTGCATTCACATTTTTATTATATTATTTACAAGTAGATCTTAATGTGAAATAGCTCACAGCTACAAAAGTGTCACAGCCGAATGTAACACCCCAAAACTAATCTATGTGTAATTTAGATATTTATACAATACAATCAACAATTCTATAAACCCATAAATGACATTTCATAGTTTCAGGAACATGTTTTTGGAATTTGGGTGAGATTTTTTTTCAGCAGTCTATTGCTGAAGGGGCCACGGTTACAATACAGTGATGACCAAAAGCATCTCTCTTTCCAGTCACCTGAAAGAAGACCGTCCTGGAAACACAGTGTACAGTGCAATGCATCTGCATTCATTTAATCTATGTACAAGTGAGGCATGCAAAAAACTCTCCTGAAATTGTGAGGATTTGGCAAATTGTACATGGTCACTCTAGTACAGGGGTGTCAAACTCAATTGCACAGGGGGCCAAAACTCAAAGCACGCTTTAGGTCGCGGGCCGAACAGGATAAACATTTATTGAACACACTAAAACTAAATGTTTTAGAACATAAATATGAATAAAATCAGACAGGAATATTATTCCAGAATAAATAAACTTAAACTTGAAATAACTTAAAATATTTTGCTCTCCATAAAAATATCTCCTGTAAAAATTATAGAAATTCAAAATATGAACATGCTGCAGAACAAGCCCTGGAAATATAAATAAAATTTATGCTTTTCAGCAAAAGTTAAAATAACAACAAATCAAAACATTCAGTTTTCTTTGCTCTTATGCCATCTTGTCAGAGCTGGATGCTTGGCATCTTTTTTTGGCAACAAGTTCGTTTAGGTTTGGTGTGAGGTCCTGTGTTGTGGAGATTCTCACTGCAGGTGTTTATCAGTGATACGACTCCTGTGTGCTGTTTTGTTAATCTTCATCACTGAGAACAGCTTCTCACACAGATATGTGCTACCAAACATGCACAAGGTTCGAGCCGCATGTAGACAGAGCTGGGGCATTGCTTCAGGAATGGAGAGAATAAACTGTGCGGGCCCTGCACTGTCGTACTTTGCCTTTAGTGTCCCATTATACTGCAGCTCAATCAGCTCCATCTGCATCTGTACAGGTGCAGTTCCACATCGACGGCAAATGGGTTGCAGAGCAGCTTGAAATTATTCTTTTGTGCTTCAAAGTCACCAAAGCGCCGTGCGCTCAATTTATCAGCAAAGTGCGCATTTGGGAACACCGTTGCGCCGACTTGGTTCAACATTACTTGGCAACAGGGAAAGTAAGGCAAGTTGCACTGGTGCATTTGTGTCTCTCATAAGAGCAGCTTCAATTGAAATGCCTTCACCGCATCATACATGTCAGTGATCATGCAGTCACGTCCCTGGAGCACGACTTTACCACACAGCGTTTCTTGGTGTATGATGCAGTGATATGCTGTTAACTCACCAGTACAGTTCTCCTCCTGCATCTTTACTTGCATCCTTCCCACTAGTCCACTTTTTTTCACCGCAGATCACCGGTGCTCCATCTGTTGTAAGTCCAACAAGTTTGTCCCAGGGCAGTTTCATGTCGCTTACACTTTGACATACGTTTTCTTTTCCTGTCATTGTCATGCAGCTCTTCAGAAACTCTCCCTCGGTAAATGGCCGGGCTGATTTGGCGATCTCCTCTGCCACAATAACACTTGGTTTCACAACGGCTTCACTTTGTGATTTTGCTCTGGTGAAAAACGTCTGCTGAAATGTCATATTCTTCTTTAACCTCTTCTACTTTCTGTATCTTCTGCTCTGCATTCAGGTTTTTCAGCTTATCCTGATGTTTTGTCTCGTAGTGCCGTCTTACATTAAATTCCTTAATTACAGCCACATTAGCTTCACAAATAAGACACACAGGTTTACCGGCAATGTCAGTAAACGACTAGAAAGATGCTATACAAGTACAGTCAATTTTCTTTTTTTTATTTCCATCAAAGTTTCCTGGCTACTTACTATGTAATTTGATAGTATTAAAGGGAACTAAGGTAAAGTTTAGTTTGATTAGTTAACTATTGTTAATATTCCAGAGGAATATTATTGAAAGACATGCACAATTGGAACCCAAGTAAATATTTATTCATTGTTTCTTTATAATTGGACATTTTATTTATTATTATGTCAAACTGAATGCTTGCCTAAAGACAAATTGCAATTTCTCACATGTTCAGCTAACCTGCTGTGCAGTGACTAAAAGCTCAGTATTTGATTGGAATTAATTAATTGGATGTCTAACAATTGAACACTGTCTCTGTTTTCACATATATAGCACTAGATTACAAGGTTCTTTCCGAGCAACAGTATCTGCTCTAACGTTGGTCAGTAAAGGTTTTGTACAGCAATGAAAAACAAGCTGTGTACAAATCATATATTTGTACAGTAGCTGTTTTGTCACTGCCTTTGTCAAAGTGTTCTGCTGTTTGTTAACACAACTAGCTAATGAGGACTAATTAGCTACAAATCAGCCATCAGCCACAGTGATGGATGTAACAGTCTGTCCTCCAGGCAGTGTTTATCATGTGTTTTATGGAGGAGGCACACAGCTGAGCAGCAAAGCTTACAATCAACAAGCCTTGTCGCTGGACTTTTGTCAGCCATCGTCAGATTTTTTTTGTCTAAAAGTAATTGCTATTTAGTCACAGTGGGGTTAAAACTGTCAATCTATTTCAAACAAGACTTATCATTATATATGATTAAGATAAGATTAGACCTTTATTGATCCCCAGTGGGGAAATGTGTGTAGCACCGGTATCACACCACTTACTGCGCCACTGGACCAGTTCTAGGTTCTAAGGAGTGGGGAGTAAAAAATAATTACACCAGAGACCGTTGCTTCAAATACAAAAGGCCGGCAATTTACTGAATGCTAAACACATATAAAATACAGAACTCAAAACAAAAATACCTTGTAGGTTCTTGATATTGAGGTAAGTATGGTAAATGAAAAATGTATTTCACTATTTTTGTTCTTTAGTTCACCTAAGTTATTTTAGTCAAGCTAATCTAAGTTAAGTTAGACCAGTCTCTTTTTCCTAGGTTGCACTTAATTTAGAATTCCTATTTTTCTTCCTGAGTAAACTCTTTTCTCCCTTTTACAGGTAAGAGAATACCTTCAATTACACAATCGAATCAAAGTGGACCACAATCATTTCAAATCACATTCAAAAATATGAACTCAATACGAAAATAAAAGTATGACACCTTAAATTCAAGTTCAAGTTCAAATGTGAGTTCAATTATTCAGTTCCATGAAAAGTTTCAGTTCGATTCAGTCCAAAACTAATAATCCAATCAGCTCTCAGTTCAGTTCAAAACCAATTCCTGATACTCCTACCACTCTGGCAGCGAGTCACCATACGCAGAAGATTTCCTCACTGATGGATGGAGAAGATGAGTTGAAGGTCTGGGTCTGGCTCGCCATCTTGAATCCCATCTGTGTATGTGCACGCCCGCAGACCAATCCTCGCTCCAACCGAGCTTCAAACCAATCAAAAAACCTGACCTGTGTAACAGGTCATAAGCACAATAAATCTCTTTTAAATCCTCAAATTGCACAAATAAATGTTTCACAGTCTCTGAGTTGTACCGTTACTGCTACGGTGCTTTTTCACCTCAAAAAATGGCGGCACAGCATATATTCACTTTTATAACATTCACAGTCTTCATAAACCCAAAATATTAACTGGTAAACAGTTTATGACGAAGCATTTCCTTGTAAACAGCTATGTTTTTAGCGTTAGCTCTCCGCCAGAGAAAAAAAAGGTACAACACGGCAAAAATGCGAGAAAACAACACAAAACTCACCAAAACCGGTGTGGCTTAGTTCTCATAAAATCCCCGTCAGTTCCTGAACAGGTAAGTTATGTTTCTCAACTGCAAAATCAACTTTTTCACTCTTTTCTTATTAACCACCGCTCGTTCTCTCCGATTTCTCCTACTCTCTCCCTCAGGTCTCTGCTGCAGCGTCACTGAGGTGCTGCAGCGTCACTGAGGTGCTGCAGCGCACTGAGTGCGCAGCGCACAGGTGCGCAGCGCACAGGTGCGCGTCCGCGCACAGGTGCTGCAGCGCACAGGTGCGCAGCCACTGAGGTCTGCAGCGCACGAGGGCTGCAGCGCACGAGGTGCGCGTCTCGCGTCACTGAGGTGCGCAGCGCACTAGGTGCGCAGCGTCACTGAGGTGCTGCAGCGCACTAGGTGCTGCAGCGTCACTGAGGTGCTGCAGCGTCACTGAGGTGCTGCAGCGTCACTGAGGTGCTGCAGCGTCACTGAGGTGCTGCGTCTCGCGTCACTAGTCCCTTAAAGGGGCAGCGACATGAATTTTCTGTCAGTATACTTTTAATCTTAAACATTAAATTATTGTTGTATTAACATTTTTAATTAACTGATGAATTAACTTACATTAAATGAATCACTTTTAACTTCCAAACTTATTTATATATATATTTATATAAACTATTTATTCTTATTTATGTCATATTTTAACATGGGTTACATGTGGTTACTGCAGCAGCACAAGCACAGCAATAGCTAAGTTAAATAAATAAATAATAACAGGTATATGATAATATAACAATAATTACAAGGTAAAGTGACAGTAGTGGGATGAATAGCAGCAAGGTCAGCAAGTCTACATTAACAGTGTACACCTGCTATGGTTTAGTTATGGTACTTAGAATTATATAGAGATGTAGAGCTGTAACATAATATAATATAGAATGTGATGCAAAAAGAACAGCAAGTGACGGTAACCAGCATAAACCTAATAAGACTATGAATACGATGAAGCCTACATAGCCTTTGGGTTTACCGTGAATATGGTTGGAGATTACAGCATGAAACCAAACAAATTAAGACGGCACCTAGAGACCTTCAGTCAATAAGCCACTGGACTTTTTCCATCGAAAACTCAATGCGTATCGCCAACAGGCCGGTCATTTAGTGAGCACGGCATCAGTAAATAAAAATGCACCGTTAGCCTCATACAAACACCGCCACATCGCAAGGTGCAAAAAAACCTCACACAATAGCAGAGGAGCTAATACTCCGGCAGCATTGGACATCGTCACAGTCATAGGTGAGAAAAGTGCTGAGACACTGAATACTGTCTCTCTTTCTTTTTCTTGACACGATCGGGAGACGTATATTTGACATTTCAGACGACCTCTGAGAACAACTCACAGAACATCTAACAGACAAACGTTAAATATAAGTAATATTGTTGCAAATTTCGCACAAAAAAAACAAATGTTAAAAAGTCATATACCTTTTTGAAAAGGAATAATCTGATGAAGCTGACAAGTGACCAATGTTTACAGTTAAAAACAGTTTTGAATGTTACTGTGTTAGTCTATAAAATGCACATCCCAGTGAATCACTGAGCAGTCTTGTTTAAATGTTACAAATTGAGTTAATAAACTGAACTTGGAAATTGTTTTAAGTTGCTGCAGATGTTATCTCAGCTCATTTTATTAATCCATTTTGATAATCAGGTGATTGTATGCAGAATGCTGGTGCCAGCAACTCATACAGTGGTTTGTACAAATAAATATGATCAGGTTCTCAATAGTATTAAAATTCAGGAGGGGCGTGAAAAAATTTCTGTCCCCTAGAGGGGGCATGACAGAAAATAATTGAGAACCACTGGTGTGAGGAGATAGGGAGTAAGTAAAGTAACATAATATATAGTATAGCACAGCTATATAACATTGAATATAATATCAAATATAATATCAATCCCTCCAGGAAGTTGCGATCAGATCGATTAATGCAAATTCAACAAATCCCCATGAATTCAGCACAACCTTGCTATCACCAAACTTTTCTGCAAATTATTGTAGTTTAATCCATAAAACACTGAGCCATATGTGGCCAAACTCACTTCCTTGTTTCTAGTTTTGAAGATGCAGACCATGTAGACGGCTGCGATTCGAACGTCTCACTTTTACCCTCAGGACCTGAACCTTTTTGGTAAGGTTACTTGGAACATTACAAACAGTGCAATTATCTTATTGATTACACAAAAACAATTGCAACTGATTTTTACAATTAGATTTTTTTTAAATACCTAAAAAAGTTTGTATTAAGAAGAATATTCTGTTGCATCCATCTTTCTGTGATCACTCATCATTTATGGCAAAATAGTCCCAAAAATTACTCTTCACCATTTTTTGAAGTAGCACTTAAATGACCCTGAAATCAAATGCTGTAATAAGACAGCAGTGGTCTGACAGCAGAAACACAAAGATAAGTCTGTGACAATACCTGCACTGTGAGATCAGCCAAACAGAGCTTTACCCTGCTGAGACAAAGCTTAGCATTCAGGAGTGTCTGCTGATCCATTCAACCATGCTAAGATTGCTATAATGTTTTGTTGTTTGCAAACTGGAATAGGAGGAAGAATGAGATTCAGTCCTGTTGTCTTGGCATTTAACTGCAGAAAGAACAAAAAGGTCTGAAAACAGTAGTGTGGACATGTCCCTGTTAAGTAAATATAATTTTTATATTCATCCAGATTAGGGTAGAAAGGCAAGAAGGAAAGAAAGGAGTTCTGAACTGCTGTGAAAAACAGCTATAGAACTGAAAAAAAGCTTCTTTTTAGACTTTCGAGTCTTCGTAAATAGATGGAGGTTGCCCGGTTGTCATGGTCATGGGGGAAATGGTAGTCTCTGTTCAGGTCTCATGGTCTCAGATGTCCTGTTTGAACTCCTGGTCAATGACCTTTGACCTCTTCCCAGTGGATGCTGTGAGAGATTTTGGTCTTGTGTTCCAGACAGCTGATATTGTCTTTTTTTTAGTGTTCATTCCGGTCCAGGGTTTTTACTATTTCACTGATATAGGGTTTCCCTCTGTCACATGTGATGTAACGATGATGTGATACACCACTCAAGTCTTCCTCTCAGGTCTTTAGGGTGTAGCAGTAGCACTGATCTTAAGGTGCTTGTAATGGTTTGTGTTCAGTGCTGACTACTTGTGACTTGAAGACCCTGGTTGCATGTTTCCGACGGTTGAGCCAACAAAGGGAGTTTGTCCTTGTCTAAGATTGGGGCAATTCTCATCATTCACTCTTGTACCTGTTGGTCTGCAGTGTCCCCCAGACATGCTGCACCTCCTTCTTTCTATTGGATGTCTAGTCTGCTGAATAGCTATAATATCAAATCAACCAATTTAAAATCAAGCAAAATGTTGCTTGCTCAACTGACACAGCAAGCTATTTAGGAAGTGAAACACAAGTGTGTCAACATCTGTTTGCCTGCTCACATTTTGGCATGTTGGTAATGGATGTCAAAGCTTCAAAGACCTAATGACCTTCAGAGGAATACCTCCTCCTCTTCAGCTCTTTATTGTGGTGTGCCCAGTGCTGTAGTCAAAACTACTTTTGTCAAGTCCAAGACCAGGTCAAGACTGAGTAGTTCAAGGAGGTTTGAATCCAAGTCAAATCCACGGAGGTTTGAGACCAAGTCAAGACAGAGTTTAAATGAGGAAAAACAGTCAAATACAGGAAAATAAATACTTTTACCATTGCCAGGGAGAGGAGTTTTGGCAGCTAGGCATACGATTTCAAGTGACATTGATTGCTTACCATGGTTTCCAGGTGGCCAATGTCAATGCTTGTTCAAGACGGAGTTTGAATCAAACCAATACTTGTTTCTGAAGACTGATCACTGGTTTAGTTTTGAAGGAGGAAATTACTTTAAAAAAACATATATAGCTGGACTTGGACCAATGGCCAACGAGTCCAAGACAAGTCAGAGACAATAGAAAAAACATCTTGAGTCAGAGATGGGACTTGAGTACTACAGCACTGGGTGTGCCCCAAGGTTCTGTCCTGGGTCCTACTATTTTTTACTTCTTTATACTTCCATTAGCTCAAGATACATACATTAAGGCCTCAAAATGTCTGTGTTACATTACCGTCTAAACTCTACCATACAGCTTAATACTGATTAAACAGCAGATTGTATTTCTGCCCCATGCCAGCGTTGTCCCTAAGGTCACGAAATGTCTCGGTTCTTTTTTCTCTTCTGTAAAACCACAAAATCTAGTTGTCACCATTGACCAGGCAATGTCTAGACTAATGTAACTCCCTCTTTAATTGTCAAGGCAAGACTTCCTATTGTTTTTCTAAGTGGTTCAGAATGCTGCTGCAAAGCTTTTAAGAAGTCTCATTTGACACCTATCTTGATTTCTTTACAGTAACTTCCCATTAAATTCAGAATCCATTTAAAAATTCTTGCAATCATGGTCTGGCTACTGTAATGCTATCACCAGCAGGTCTCTGAGGTCGTTTGATCCAGTGCTTATTGATTATTCCTCTCTCCAGACTCAATATTAAGACTGAGGTCGTGGCTTCTAAACTTTGGAGCTCCCTCCCCTTGGACTTGGACTCTCTTATTTGAGGACTGAATGATACATTCAGTGTAACAGAAGCAGGCAGATGAGCAGGCTGAACTTCTAAACCATATGCAAGCAACTGAAATATGAATTAACCATACAGTGTTGTGCTGTCTTGTAATGATGGTGCTGAATTAAGGAACAAGGCACCTTGAGAATATGTGAATTTGTTTTCTGCTTGGTTGAATAAGCACATTTTTGGCCAGTGGCCAGTCAACACTCAACAGTGCCAAGGTAGATAACAAACACCTTTGTGCCTGAATATTTGTTTTATGTTTAGCAACAGACACAGAGTTGAAATTTGGATGTAGTTCTGCTGACAGAGAGACTCTATCACTTTAAAGTACTATGCAAATGAACCAAAAAATGAAAAGCTACAGGGAGAGCAAGAGCATGCAAAATAAAATGGGAAGAGTCAAAGTTTGAGGGAGAGCAAGTGAAGTTTTGCAGAGACAGAAGGAGTAGTTGAGACAGAGAGGGATATGGAAGAAAGTAGTCGACAGAGAGCGAACAAGTATTTGGCAGACTTGAAGAGAGAGGGAGACAGTAGTCAGCTGGCTTGGAGC